GGCGAAAATTTAAAGCGGTACGTTTTTTAAATACAGGCATCAGCCACGCATCTAGATTCAGGTTCAATAATATGCCGATATTAAATTAAATAAATAAATTAAAAATTACAATTCCTTTATCTGTTCATATAACGTNGGACTAGTGGTTCTCGAGTTATGTCAAAAAAAGACCACCAAAGGTGACAATTTCCCAGCGAAACGCCGGGACACGTATAACTTCTTTTTTACCGATATACCTTTCCCTGGTAGTTTGAACCCTTCCCGATCACTGACCCCTACCATTTGTCTCACAGTGTTATTTATTCGTATTATCTAAAAAGGTAAGAGCCGGATCGAAAAAATAACTCTCCTAGTGTATTCAGCGACCTCGAAAGCACATTATAAGATCTTAGAAAACTTAAATTTCCAGAGGAATTTCGCGTGCGCACGGTCTGAAGGACGAGTAATTTTAAGCAATACAAAAATTGACTTGAGCGACCTCTAAATTTTATTTTTTTTTAAATCAAGTTATGTACTTGTACACAAATTTGCGTGAGCACTGAATAATATTGAAAAAAAGGATTTTGTGGACCACTCTAATGCGGATATTTAAATGCCGGTTTGCTATTCGCGCGACAAACTTTTTTAAAAACGAAGTAAATTAGTACAAATTGTTAATAATTTTCATTAGAGTTTGAGTAACTCCTTTCACTAAATGGCTTTTAGTAACTTTAACGAGACCTTAACTTATTTTATTTTATTCATTTTAATGCAGTTTTGACGAAATTTTCTTGCTAAAAAATCTTTTGTTACACTACTTTATTTTATTCCTTTGATTGTACATGTTAAATAAAATCTTGTTTTTAAAAAATATTTTTTTTTACATTATTTTATTAACTCATTGATTAAAAATAAAATATAGAATAGCTTAAGGCCCTAGCAGGCAAAGCTAAGTTCCCCCTTTCTGTTAGATTTAAGTTTTTAAACTTTTCTAACAGCTGTATATAAATAACTAAATAAAATGATAGTCATGATATTTTTAACTAGACGTAGAATGACAAAATGCCCCCAACACTCCACAAATATTTCATCCATGAGCCAAAGATAACATCCCACGCTTTCCTTGCAGGAAATGTATCTAACTATAAGCTAACGTTAAGTTGATTAAGAACGAGCTAAAAGTCACTTATTATCTGTATATTTTCTTTGACGAAAGCTAAATATATTTCTATGGCGATGGCCGCAAAATAGTCAAGTCTGCATTAGATGTAACTAACTTGTAACTAACTACTTTTGGACATAAAATATCAATAGGAAAAACAAAATATATTTTTTATTTTATTTTTTATTTTATTTTTATTTTTTATTTACTTTATTTATTCTATTACATTTCATATTTGTTTACATATTCTGCTGTAGGGGGTCGCGTATTCGAACTCCGTCGACATAACATCAAAAGGATAATATGAAATTTCGATCTTCCTTTTATTTGTCCTCAATTCGAGAAAAGTATTTGCGAAGTGTAGGATATTTAAACGGAAACGCGTTTAAAGAAAACAATCTCCTTCATTATTCCAGCATTACCTTTCAACTAGTTTAAAGTTAGCTTTTTGTAGCTAACTACAAGTTATATATTTTATAGAAATCCCACAAAAAACTAACTACAAGTGTGTTATTTTTATCAACTGATAATTTTTTTCTGCAGGGTTGTTACCTATGATCAATTGTCAGAAGAAGCTCTGGAAGCACGAGACAAAGACCTTAAGAGCTACAAATGTTCTCTATTTGTCCCGCAAGTGCAACAGAAAAAAGACGAATGAAGATATAAGTTGTGTTTGTTTACAAATTATCCAGTAACTTGCCAGCAACTCACCAGTACCTTTATTTCTAAGAATTCGTTCTCCTAGAAAAATTTACAAAAAAGTACGCGAACGCTTTTCCAGTAATAATTTGCAAGTGTCATGAGCAGCTGATAAATTGGTTGTTTATTCGCAGCATATTCCTAATAAAACAATATATTTTATATTTAAATATGTTTATTTCGTGAATTTCCACACTAAAAAGCCACAAACAGTTTCCCTGCAAAAATCGCGACTACTCCATGCATGCGTGTAAAGAGTACTCCCTAAGGAACAAGGAGTACTCCAAAATTAACCACGATTCATATAAAAAATATGGTCCAATTAACATTGCGATGTCCTAGGGCAGGACCATATAATCCATCCCTGCATTACATCAGAGTAGCACAAAACTACTCCAACATATTAACAATGGCATTGCTATATTTTTTCGTTTGTACACGCTTTTGTTCTTTACTTCTCAGATGCTTTTTCGAAATTAATAAAAACCAAAAACGAAAATTAAAATTAATATGTTGCCTCTGACGGCATTCGAACCCGAACATGCTGAGAGCTAACAACTAACCGCAAGCATCTCTACACGTTCAGCTACAGCCAGACATGCAAATGAGCTTTCAACTTCTATCACATTTCGTTAAAATACGAGCAGTGATCGAGTAACAAACAATAAGCTGGCGCAGTTGGTCCGCTACAGCATGACAGAGGAACACTCTAAGTAGCCCAATATGCCACAAATAGACTACAGGGTCCAACTATTTTTGCAGGGTTCCCTATTAGTTTAAATTTCATCCAGCAACATGCGATCAGCTGTTTCTCGTACCGGCAAAATCCTTACAAGTAAAAATGTATCCAGTAAAATCCAGTAATAATTTGCAACTTCAACTGTCATTTTTCGCTCTCTCAATTTCCCCTACTTTGCAAGTTTTTACGTACGAGAACGCCAAAACATGATAATTCGTAAAAACTTTTACTGGAAATGAGTAAACAAACGCAACTATATTCAATTCAGTTCCGACCCTGTTATACCAAGTATAAGAAAACTACCCCAAAGAAATTTTAGGAGTTGCAGAAAGAAGCAAGATATTTGATAATTATGGAGAACTATAGTGATGAAGATGAAGTTGATAGCGATGACAATGACGCAAGCGAAGATGATGTTTGCTTATATTAAAGATTATATTTTTATACCCGAGCGCACTTGTGCACAAGGGTATATTAATTTTGTTCACATAACGGTTGTTTGTAACAGCTAAAACGAATCGAGATAGATATGTGTACATAAATGCTCAGAATGAATAGAGAAATCGATAAAGCCATGTCTGTCTGTCCGTCCGTCCGTGTTCACGATAACTCGAACAAAAATTATGATATCTCAACGAAATTTGGTATGTAATCCAAGGTAGCTTGGTATTGAAAATGGGCGAAATCGGACTGTAACCACGCCCACTTCCCATATAACGGTAATTTCCAGAAATATGAAAACTGCAATATTTTAGTAACTACTGAAGATAATTCACTCAAAATTGATATTTACAATAATTTTCAGACGAAAAATAAGAATATTATAAATTTTTGGAAAATGGGCGTAGCCACGCCCACTTATGGTTACATGTGTATATCTTGGTAACCGCTGCACCAATTTCTTCCAAACTTGGCCCACTTGTTGGCCTTGATACAGCATACTAAACGGCCGAAAATTTAAAGAATGGGACAATAACCACGCCCACATGCCATATAACGGTAATTTTGGAGAAATACGAAATCTTCGATAAATCAGTAAATATTGAAGCTAATTTATTAAAAACTGATGCTTGCAACAATTCTTTACCAAGAAATACGTTTATAGTAAAATTTTGGAAAATGGGCGTGGCACCGCCCACTTATGATCACATATATGTATCCCAGTAACCATTCTACCAATTCGTACAAAACTCGGTATGGTTATTGTGCTTGCCACATAAAAGTAAAATGCTGAAAATTATTGAAATCGGACTAAAATTACGGCCGCTTTTCATATAACGGTAACTTTCAGAAATGCTTGAAACTGCAATATTTCGAATTTAAGGACGCTAATTTACTCAAAATTGATACACCTCGGCTTACCATCTAGCGGTAGGTTTCGGAAAGGTGAAAAACATATTTTTAATACTTGCGCCGGGTATTTAATGTTCGGCTAAACCCGAACTTAGACTTTCTTACTTGTTTTATTTCATTTGGTGCTAGATATACAAATACATCAAAATATTTTAAATTAAATGTACGTATGAATTGATCTCCACTTTCAAGGTCGATTACCCACTATGTGGCGGTTGCTGCTATTTATATACAAGGTTTCATGAAAATCGGACGTGTCGTTCGCAAGATTACCTCTTACAAAAAAAGACTTCTCTTTATATAATTAGTATATATAACTGAAATATAACCGCCAAATTAATCTTAATTACACTGAGAAAACAGTCAGCTATATATATTTTTTTCTAGGCACTACACCTTTTCCAACAGTATTTTAGAAAGACACAAATGTATTTCAGAAAAGGCCTAATGAGTTTCAGAAAAGGCCAAATGAATTTCAGAAAAACTCAAATGTATTTCAGAAAACCTCGAATGTATTTTAGAAAAGGGCAAATGTATTTCAGAAAAGCTCAAATGTATTTCAGAAAAGGCCAAATGTATTTCAGAAAAAGCCAAATGAAATTCAGAAAAACACAATTGTATTTCAGAAAAGTTCAAATTATTTTCAGAAAAACGCAAATGTATTTCAGAAAAGCGCAAATGTATTTCAGAAAAATATTTTTAGAATACAGTTATGCTTTTCTGAAATACATTTGTGCTTTTCTGAAATACATTTGCCCTTTTCTGAAATACAATTGTTTTTTTCTGAATTTCATTTGGCTTTTTCTGAAATACATTTGGCCTTTTCTGAAATACATTTGATCTTTTCTGAAATACATTTGGATTTTTCTGAAATACATTTGATCTTTTCTCAAATACATTTGCCCTTTTCTGAAATACATTTGAGGTTTTCTGAAATACATCTGTGTTTTTCTGTCACTATAACGAAATCATGTTTTGAGAGAAGCATATTTAGTTAACATACCTAAAATCTCTTCTCAGAGTACTTGTATACATAAATATCATCCCATTATTGCCATCGATTTACAGGTTTCCAAGCTGATGTGCAGAAATCTTCTGAAAAAGCTGACCTAGCACTGAGGACAGTACCAAGCATTGAACAAGAAATCGAAAATGCCGAGCAATTGATAAGACAAGCAGGAGAGGTAAGCGTGACAAATACTGTTGTATTTTATTTCGGAAGTCCTAATTGTTATACACGTGCGTTAACTTTTTTAATTTTCCGAAGGCTTTAATGGGTGCTAATAAAAATGCGCTCGAGGCAAAAACCAACGCACAGCAGGCACAAGAGAAGTATGCCGAGCAGGCTTCAAAGGTATTTGCATACTCATTTGTTCAAAACCAAATTCAAATGTTAAGACATTTTGCAATTTTCTCTTCAGGATGCGGAAATAATTCGTAAAAAGGCAAACGATACCAAAGTAAATGCCCGCAAGCTACGTAACGAAGCTGATCAACTCAATCATCGTGTGCAAATCACTGAAAACAGCATCGCCAAATTGGATGAATCGGCAAACAAAGACGACAGCCTCGTCGATGATGCCAAACGAAAGGTAAGCACAACGAAGTGAAAATGGAGGTAATAACCTCTTCCCTCCATTCTTTACGCCGTAGGTAGGACAAGCCAAGGCCGGTGCACAAGAAGCACAGGGTCAGATTGATAAGTCCATACAAGAATTGGATGACATCAAGGAGGAATTAGAGAATCTAAGGGACATTAATGTCGAAGATTTAGATAAACTCGGTTAGTACTTACCTCTTAATTAACAACAGCAACTTTTGTTTTTACATTTTTTTCTTTTTTTTGATTCCTCCCCTTTTTATTTTCCCGTCGTGTAGAAAGTCGCCTCGATCAAGTGGAGTTCGAATTGAATCGTGTCAACTTGACCGGTCGAATTGATAAGTTCCGTGATTTGCGCAACGCACAAAAGAAATGGATCGACAAGTACGAGAAGGATTTGTACGATTTGGAGGAGCAAGTAGCAAATATTCGTGCGATAGCCCAAGCACTGCCCAATGGCTGTTATCCGCGTAGTCGATTGGAGCCATAAATGGGCCAAGTATCGGTTAACACTGCCCAACAAACCATAGAACTAAACTCTAAATATGCGAAAAGAGAAATGAAAAAATCCAAATACCCTATACTAGTGTCTAATATGAAAATATTTTAGTGAAGAAGTAGTTAAGTTAAGTTTTAAAATAAATATTCTTAAATCCTACTTTTTTTGTACGCACACATATGAGCCGCTTATTTGTAAAGTGGCATAAGTCATTTCCTGCCGTTTAAATACAGTGATTATTTACTTGTATCTAGACGCTTCTGTTATTCGTTAAACTTCGTCAGCCGAAAGTATAAAGTTTTTTTATTTAGCTTATGACAGCAGAACGATTTGCAGATGCATTCAGTTTAATAGTAACTAAGCGTTTAGGCTCAAGAGGTGGAAATGACTTATGCCACTTTCATAATACACGGCTCTTATTATCTTTCAGCTGCTATTTCCGAAGTGAACCAAAATTATCTAGCAGAAGGCTGCATAAATGGTTTTGGAAGGGCAATCAAAATATTTACTAATTTCGCAATAGTTCACTTCCACAGAGTTTTCAAATACTGTCAAATGCGTTCTGCAAATAGTGAATCAAAATTGTGCTTGAATAAAACATTGCTGCAATAAAACATCACTACTACTACATTTACTGTCGAGTGTAACTACTGCACGACAATGCAGCGACTGCAGTAAAATTCTATGTGGTATGTATGTATAATTAAACTGTGTCTGCGTTACCTAACCTTAGCAACAACTTACCCCAATTTTTCTTAACTTAGAATTCTTTAATGGAGAAAAGCTTATTTATAAGATAAAATAAGTATAAATGCGTTCATTGGCGTAGCCAGAACGAAATTTATTATAGCTTATAATTATTGTAACCAATAGAGGTAAATATGTTGTAAGTAACTGTTGTATCTATATAAAACTATTCGTCGATTTAAATTGTTAACTTTTTACTGAGCATGTTTATTTTACGAGGAGGAAGCATCGAAAGCCTAACCCCGTCAGTGTGAGACTTTAACCCAAACTAAACTTCCTACCGTCATGTACCGTTCCCCTCCCGGTACCACCGTCAAGGATTTCGTGGGGATTATAACACTGTGTGACTGATAAGGTTATAGATCTATTATCTTCTTCTTCTTCTTATTTGGCGCTGTAACCGCCACAGCGACTTTGGCCAACTGACGCCAATTGGAAATGCCAAGTGAAGCCAGAATACTTTCAGAGCGGGGTCCATTCGAACGACATGTTCAAGCCAGTTGAGCCGCTGTATTTTAATTCGCCATATACCAGCACGGGCATGATGAGTGACTTATAGTGTGGTTTTCGTACGTCGTGAGAGGACTTTACTCCTGAATTGCCTATTCAGTCCAAAGCAGTACTTGTTGGCAAGAGCGATTCTGCATTGGGTTTCCATGCTGACATTATTATCGGTGTTAATGGTGGTTCCCAAGTAAACGAAATTCTCTACTTTCTCGAAATTATAACTGTCAAAAGTGACGTGGGTGCCGAGGCGCGAATGTGCTGATTTTTTGTTTGATGACAGGGATACTTCGTCTTGACCTCGTTTACCACCAGACCCATTCGCTTTGCTTCCTTGTCCAACTTGGAAAAGCCAGGACAGACTTCGCGGTTTTTCTTACCGATGATGTCAGTGTCATCGGCATAAGCTAGCAATTGTACGCTCTTGTAGTAAATTGTTCCTGAGCGGTTCAGTTCTGCGGATCTTATTATTTTCTCCAACATCAGATTAAAGAAGTCACATGAAAGAGAGTCGTCCCGTCTGGTGGCGAACGGCAACAGAGCAGAGCTGGTGGTATTGCTCAACGTCATTTTTTACAGCCGTATGAGTTTTGAGGGGATATAGGAAACTCCTTTTAGTGCTGTCGAAAGCGACTTTAAAGTCGACATATAGGTGGTGAGTGCCGATCCTTTTCTTGCGGGTCTTTTCCAAGATTTGGCGTATTGTGAATACCTGGTCTATGGTAGACAATACATTCGATAAGACATTGCAACCTATGCTGAGAAGGCTGATCCCGCGGTAGTTGGCACGCATGGCGGGGTCGCCTTTCTTGTGGGTTGGGCAGAGCGCATTTGAATTCCAGTCGTCGGGCATGCAACTTATTACCTCCTTTCCATCGTAATTAAATAGCTCAGCTGACAGGCCGTCAGCTCAAGCAGCTTTGGCACTTTTCGTCTTAGTCAGGCGCTGGGATATCGACTCCACCGTCATCGACTGGGACCTCGGGTTCGCCTTCTCCACTTCTTTCAGTACTTCTGCCATTCAAAAGGGTCGAAAAGTGTTCACTCCATAATCTGAGTACGTTCTGGACATCGGTCACTAAGTCGCCATGGTTGTTCCTACAAGAGTCTTGAAATCTTCCATAAGTCGCTCAACTCTACTAAAAACTTCAGGGGTTTTTTCTGTCGGCCAGCATTTCAAGCATTTTCTCACACTCCTCATCGTACCTGTAATGAGCGGGAAATGTGGTTCAACTGATCGCGCAAGTTGGTTTGTTGAATAGTGCTCTCTCACAGCAGTTGTGAGGGTCGAGCGCCGAATTCATTGGCCGTCTGTTTTGATTGGTGCTTTTCGACGTTGAACTTTCCTTGCATTGTTGGGGAATCTTTTTTTGCTGCTCCGAGANTCATCGTACCTGTAATGAGCGGGAAATGTGGTTCAACTGATCGCGCAAGTTGGTTTGTTGAATAGTGCTCTCTCACAGCAGTTGTGAGGGTCGAGCGCCGAATTCATTGGCCGTCTGTTTTGATTGCAGCTTTTCGACGTTGAACTTTCCTTGCATTGTTGGGGAATCTTTTTTTGCTGCTCCGAGATTGGGTCGTATATTGGATGCATCAATATAGTAGTGCGAGTCGATGTTTCATCTGTTACATCTAAAACATGGAAGAATGCCTTCCGTCTATCACAACATGCTCGATTTGGTTTCCGGTTTTTCAATGTGGAGACATCCAAGTAGCTTGATGGATCTTTTTATGCTAGAACCCAGTAATACATACTGCCAAGTTTCGGGCCCCAGCGAAGTCGATCACCCTCAGCTAATATGTACGCTCTAAGATAAGAGAGCCTTGGATGCCTGGTCCTTCTCTTCCATCGGGGCATTGGCACATATGAATGAGATGTTGAAGAATCTTGCTTTGATGCGGATTGTGGCTATACTTTCGTCCACTAGAGTGAAAGCCGGTCTCTCTCCCACCACAAATCCAACACCGAATTGCACTCCTTTAAGTGGCAATTGTAGTAGACGTCGCAAGGCTCCACGATTACCTTCCTCGCCCCATCCATCGCATTTCGTGGATGGCGGTGATTTCAGCCTTTATTTTTCCCTACGACATCAACCAGCCGGGCAGAGGCACCATCCCGATTAAGGGTTCGGATATTCCAAGTGCATACCCTAAAATCATAGTCCTTGCTATGTTTGCCGTGATCGTCATCAAAAGAAGGGGATATCATCCGAGGCATGTGTTTTTTTTTCATTGGGCAAGATTTTAACGTGGCGGGACCCAAACGCAGCGCACACGGGCCACATACCTGTATGGTAAACCAAATAGCCGGATCAGACGTTATTCAAAATAAAAAATTTATACAATAAACTTTTTTCCGCATACTCTGTAATATTCTTCCGCAATTTTGTAAGGTAGTTTACAATTATAATCATTGCTTTGCAGCGAAATATCTTATCTTAAACTATACACATAGGTATGTATATATATGAGGACGTACTTAACATTTTGAGTATGCAGATTTTTTATGCTGGTATATTCATTTATGCTAAATATATTACTTGAATTTGTCTTGCCACACTTAAGAAGTAAATGTCTTGGCTGTTCACCCAACCGGTCTATATTTTTATCCATAATCTCAGACTGTACGCTTAGAAAAGACACAAACATAAAGACAAAGTAATAAACAATTGAACTATAAATTTGTTTATAGTTTCCGTTCAATCCATTTTTGCTCATTGTCGACTGCAGCCCCTTTTTAAATGGAAGTGCTTTGAACATAGAGAAAATAACTTGATACAGAACCGGATGATCCACATATCCACTTCTTAAATCAATTTACTAATTATTTTGTTAGCGTTGTGAGTATAATTTGTTATACAGTATATATATAGAAAAAACCTTTAAAGTTAGGGGGGCCGAAATTTTCAAGCAAGCATTTCGTGGTAATATATTTCAATATCTAGGCAAAAATCTGGAAGTTAGGGGGGGCCCGGGCCTCCCCCTGCCCCTATCTGGCTACGCCCATGAATACGTTTGTTTTTTATTAAAGTAATATTTGATACTTATATCACGGCGCACTAACACATAATGACTTACATTGAGCATGTAAACCGATGCGGTTTACTGCACTCGCTATGCTGCTCCGCTATTTTGCTGTCTTTGGCAATGTTGCCAACTTTTGAGTTTCAAAAAGCACCAAACCTTGGAAAAAGCGGTTTACCACACTAAAAGCACTAATTTTTTTTAAATCAAAGGACACTTTTTCAAAGCAATTTGTGTTTAACAAAAGTAAAAAAAATAAACAATATTTACAAGTATAAATCAATACACTTATAACGATTGAATAGCCTCTACACATGATATTATGATTCATGCTTATGAAGTACCTAATACCGACGTACTGCGCATTAAACTGGACTGCATCACCAAAAAAGTTGCGGTTTTTCCGCCGGAATTACAAAATTTATTATATTTGAAGACCCGACCGATTGGAAAATACCCCCAAAAATGGAGTTTTTTATGAATAAAAATAGTTCCATAAAGAAGGTTTTAAAAAAATGTCCTCAGATGACAAACCAGTTTAAGCATAAAAAATCTGCATAAAAATATTTACAAAAATATTCAACAGAATTGTAATAATGAAATTTTTTATGATGTTTTTAGCTTTTTTCTAAGATTGGTTTAAGAACAACTTGAATAACTCTTTCAAAACCATTCCGATTTAGACTTGTGAGGTATAAGTAGAAATGTACTTTCTATTTCTCTTTCTATTTATTTGCAAAAAAAAAACTCATTCACGTCCCTTTTGGCAAATACTAATACATCTTAAGTAGTTCAACTTGGAATGACGCTCTTTCATCCTACTTGTCTCTTTCATACTTTGAATGAGTTTATTCCAAAGAAATAAAAACTTTTATAATGACACCTCACAACTTTTGGTCCAGTTGTTCAAGTTTTTCTTATACCAATCTTTGAAAAGAGTTAAAAAAAAGAGCATCAAACATCTCATTATTACGTTTCCGTAGAAAATTTCTTTTAAATATTTGTATGCAGATTTTTTAAGCCTAAACTGTTTTGTCGTCTGAGGGGATTTTTCAAAAAATTCATTAAGAAACTATTTTTATTCATAAAAAACTACAGTTTTGGGGGTATTTTCAAATCGGCTCCCATAAATCTTAATAAANGCATCAAACATCTCATTATTACGTTTCCGTAGAAAATTTCTTTTAAATATTTGTATGCAGATTTTTTAAGCCTAAACTGTTTTGTCGTCTGAGGGGATTTTTTCAAAAAATTCATTAAGAAACTATTTTTATTCATAAAAAACTACAGTTTTGGGGGTATTTTCAAATCGGCTCCCATAAATCTTAATATTTTTTCGAAATATTTTGGTCCAAGTCTTCAAATATAATAGATTTTAGAATTCCAATGGAAACACGCAACAGATTTTTTTGTATGGGGAGTAATGCAGTCTACTGCATATTACAACTCAAGAATGATAGAATAAAGAGATTGCGCTTTGCGCAGGTCCGTTACTCTTGTTTACAAATCAGCTGTTCGAGTGTTGACGTCATAATATAAAATTTTTGGTGGGAAGCGTATTGGTTTGCGAGGGAAACGTATTGGTTTGCGAGGAAAATGTATTGATTTGTAATATTTTTGTTAAAGTTATAAAATAAAAACGTTGTAAAATGAAGTGCGCAGTTGCGAAATGTGGAAAAACGGCGGCAGAGTACAGTTTGTTTACTTTTCCTTCAGATCCAGAACTTAGGAAAAAGTGGATCCAGTTCTGCCGGCAAAGCAAGGATTTCCAATTTAAAACTTGCTATATTTGCATGCATCACTTTGCAAGTGAAGATTTTGAAAATAGTCTGCAGTTTGAAGTGGGTAGGATGTTTATTTATTTCGTTTATTGTGTTTATATTAATGAAAGTGTTTAAAACATTTCTAAGGTTATGCAAAAAGAAGATTGTTGAAACGAGGCTCCGTGCCATCAATTTACAAGCCCGGTGATGAAAACCCGGAGCGTTCGCAAAGAGTTCATCGTCGTCAAAATACGTCGTTAATATTGGGTTTCATTGGAACGATATCCTTATTTGATGCTGTGGGCAGGCGTCACAGTTTCAGGTAAAATTTCTTGCTTATGCCTTGGCAGTTTAATTTTATGTTGGCACCGTTTGCATTGTATTTCCTGAAATAAGTACGCATTGGAAGTTAGTAAAAAGTAATGTATTGTCGCAGATGCTACTTACCATGCTATGAGCACGCCCTTGCTCAACGAATTGGCCCTTTTACGCTGTTTCCTGGTTAGCGCTCTTCGATTCTCTGTAGTCTTTCTGGCATCGTATAGCTTCTATATTTGTTTCCAAGCCTTGGAGCTATGCACTATTTGCTGTGGCTTCAATTTCATTTGGAAATCTTACTCGTTCCATTTGCCAGCGCAACGGCGGCCACAGAATGCAATTTTTATTTGAACGCCCTACTCACTACCTGAAATAAAATAATAATATAAATAATGTAAAAGAAACACAAAATAAATTTACCGTCTTCTCGATTCAATAAATTGCCACCAGATTGTTTTATTTTAGTCTTTCAACTAAATTTTATGCTATATTTACTTTTTTTCGTCGAAATTGTATGCGATTTGACAGATCGCCAACAACAACTTTTATATTATGACGTAGATGCGCAGAACGAAAAATTTTTGCACCCCTATCGGCGCAATCTTTGTATTCTATCATTCTTGATTACAACTATATCACGAGAAAGAAGAATCGAATCGCAACAAACGAAAATGAATTTTAAGGGGAAGAGTAATACTAAATGATGAGTAGAACTGAGCAAAAAAATTTGTCGTTTTCATATAAAGAATTATAGAATACAAGATTGCGCCCATTAGAAAGGATTTTTAAGCGTAATTTTTGCGTGACGTCATCTTGGTGCAATTGCGAGAGAGAAAATATGTAAACAATGCGAAATAATGTGTTAATAACAATATTAAATGGCCCAGCTTTGCAGGAATTAATAAATATACAAATTTTAATTAAATATGAACACGTAGCAATGACTTTGGGCATGTAGCCCACGGTTGCCAACCGTCCTGTTTTCGGCGGGACTGTACCGGATTTAAGAGCTATATCCCGGTCCCGGTACAAAACCTGCCGGGACGCAAAATATCCCGGTTTTTGGTACAATAAAAAAACAAATTAGGCATCTCTTTGTAAAAAATTTAGAACTCTTCAAATATTTACATATAGCATTTTATAACTTAGTGTGATTTTTATTCCACTTTTAGTATATATTTTAAGTAATTTGAAAATATTATCATTGAAGCTTCGTTTTATGACAATTTTTATATATGAAATTTTACACTTTTTTTGGTTTTCTAAATAGAAACTTTCCAAAAATGCAGCAATAAAATTGAAGCCGTTTCTTACATATTAGGGATATTCTCGATGTCTTGAAAGTAGTACGGATTGAATTAAATGCAAACAGACTATTCCAAATTTGCAAGAGTATGGGAGCACCCCATTGCAAATTGAAAGCATGCATAGGTAGCAAGGAGAGAAATTCTGTATCAAATACAATAACAAGATACTGCAGAAAAAAGATGAAGTGAGCAAAATGAGAGAAATTGAAGCAATTCCAACAACAAAACAACTAGCACAGGGTCGCATTTATCTTGCTGTGCTTTTTTGGAAAATATATGCCTGGGCTTTGACGTTGCATATTTTGCAGCGACAAGAAATATTGTTTCCCATGTATTTTGTTGTTGTGTGTTTTAAAGTTATGCAATCCGTGCATCCTTGCTACGAGCAACGCCTATGCAAGATTTCGAGAATACCCCTATTGTGTAAATAATTTTACCTGCCCTCTTTCCTAACATTAGGTTTGTTCTTACCATTTTTGGGCTAGTCTTGGGCAAATGAGCGTAAGTACGAAATTTATGGCCAAAAGAGCTTTAAACATCAAATCGCACAAAATTATAAATTTAGGATTTGAGTGGCAGAAAACACAATATCGTTATTAGCTAAAATTTGAGTGTCTAAAATTGTTCCTCTTTTTCTGGCAGTTTAACAGTTTTTACAACTCGCCCGGAAAAATAGTCCGGCCGACTTCAGGCAAGTGAGAAGCAAATATTACTCGCTCAAAGTGGCTCTTTACAGCCCGAGAACCAACCAAATAAACACTGCGGGCGAGCAAAAGAACGGGCTTACTGTGCGTCCCGGTTTCAAGAATGCAAAAGTTGGCAACCGTGATGTAGCCTCTTAGGTAAGTACGATTTTCAGCACATGCCGGATGTTGGAAAAATGCATGAAGTTATATGTATGTAGATATGTACAGAAAAAAACTTACTTACATCGCGCGCCTGCCTTTTTGTTCACTTTTACAATTTGCCCCTGCAGACTTCATTTTGCCTTGTAATGCTTTAATAATTGTGTAAAACTACGCAGAAATATTAACGCACAAACAGTTAAATTGGAAATGTTTATTTATTTGCCCCCTGTTTTCTGGGTTAGTGGGCGGAGGGGGAGGGGGTCTTGATATCCCACCCACTACAAAGAGCACAGTTCACTATTTGTAAAAAGTCATCCCTCGAAACCTTCCACATACCCCTAGGGAACCATTCTAAAATGGTCTAAAATCAGCATTTTGACACCGGAAATGTAAACTCGATAAAGAGTATTTTTTTGCAGAACACTCTTCGATTGTCCAAAGTACGCCATCCACGGTATATTTGCGTAGAACTCACTCCGAATTTCCCAAAGAAGTGCATTTTTCAGACCGAATTTATTAATAAATTAGTGAACACAAATTACAGAATTAGGGTTTACAATAAAGTGTAGACCCTTGGCTGCAAGTGTGTGTAAAATAACTAAACCGTACCCAGTTAAATCGTTATTTGGTTTTCCTAAATTAACAATAGGAGTGTTTCTTAACTTTTTACAGTTGTTGATAGCAGATTGGCGAAGAGTATAAATTTACGCACAAGGAGATCGAAAATAAAAGTTTCGCCGGATTTTCGCTGTTGGACATTTTTTACTGCAGATTTTAAACGAACGTACCTATTGACTAACCAACATATAGCAGAACTGTTACGAACGGCTTTAACTGACTTAAAACCAGATTTTGAAAATTTTGCCAAATAGATCTTTTAAATTTTCTTTAATATATTACGTACATTAGAATAATAATAAACTTAATGTTTTTCGTTTCTAATAATATTTAAAAATAAAAATTTTGTTTTTGTTTTGTGGCTCTTTGTAGCATTTAGAATTTACATGTGGCTCTTTTCGGCCTCGGCGTTGCCCACCCCTCTTATATGTAATACATGTATACAAAATGCTTTTAAAACCCGTAAATATATATAAAATTTATGATCCTAGGCTTATTGAAAAGTTATTAAAGAGTAATTTCTTTCAGATACGAAAAACAAAGTTACCAACTGATGGCGCTTTGCATTTATATCTAACTAGCAGACCCAGCGAGCATCGTCCCGCCCAAAATGTATTTCTTTATTCAAGCATTTAATACAACGTTTTCACCACAATTCACGTTCACGTTTGGTTTTGGTTTGAAAGCATATCCTCCATTGCCGTCTTAAATATAAGGCTGACTTCCAAAACGTCAATTGCATTGCATACGCACAAAGTGTAATGTTCCATAACGCCGAACTACAAAATATTGACAGTGTAAGCTGTTCCAAAACGTATACGAAAAATTATCGAAACGTATCGGTAGAGCAACCAGCGCATCACTAACAAAGTTGATGCTTCGTTTGTTTTTGTTTGCGTTTGGTGTTTCAAAAATGGAAAATAGCGAAAGGTAGGTGCTTATGTTTATTTTTGTATTGCATATTCACATAAATGTTTATGTATACATTTATTTTGCAGCGAAAGAAAGTGGACACATGAGCAAAAGAAACGTCTGCTCAATACAAGGCTGCGTAATGAAGGGGAATTCTGTGCCAAACGCAAGAAGCGGTCCGTTTTATGGGGAAAAGTCTTGCGAGAAATCAAAGAAGTGGATAGTGACTTCCCGTTCTCTCGGGATGATATAACAAGAAAATTTCTAAACTTTACGGTCACTTATAAACGCATTAAAAAGCGAAACAACACATCCGGCGAAGCAGCGACGACATGGGAGTTTTTCGATGAAATGGACGAGGTTTATGGTTGCCGGAGTGACGTTGTTGTGCCGGAAGGAAATTTGGAATGTTCACTGATTGAAATACTTTCTGGGACAAACGAGAATAGTGAATATGAAAAAGAACCCGATACTTCATCACCGGAACCAAAAGCTAAAAAAATGAAAAACGAAGTTCTAGAATTTTTACAAAAAGAGGCTGATAGTGACAAAGAAACGCTGAAAAATTTTATGGATCTGGAAGAAAGAAAAAAGTCTGATTTATATGGTTTTTGTTAAAGCATGAATAATATTTTTATAAAATAATATCAAAAAAATTTTAGCTTGAAAAACATTGTAAATATTAAAAACGAAACACCATTCATTCATTTTTGACCGCCACTGTACACCTATGGCCAAAATAATAGAAACACGAGATTTCGACTAATTTTTACTATTTTTCTGTTGCTTGTTTAAAGTTCATTAATTTTTTATAAAGTGTAGTATTTTTTTATAAAAGTATTATATAACAAAGACTTTTTTATATACTTTTATTAAAAATTAATTAATTTTAAACAAATCAAAAGAAAAATAGTAATGGCCGAAATGTCGTGTTTCTATTATTTTGGCCATAGCTGTTCACACATACACATGTACAAACGAAAGTATAGTTAAAAACCAGCAAATTTCATTCAATAAATAAAAAAATTTTATTCAATCTGTGGTTGGTATTACAAATACATATGCATTGAAGTAATATGTATGCCTTTGAATTGGTAGGATTACACAAGTTAAAATTTGTGCTTATACCTTTGTTTCAAAAACAAATTCATTAATAGGTACATTAAATACTCACATACATATGTGCATAAGTGCACAGGTGTGTTTATAAAAATAACATAAAACCTGTTGACTAGTTAACTTCTAATAGCGCAAATTATTTCAGTTTAATTCGTTTTATGTACTTTTTTATGTACGTTTTTAGGTACAGTTGTAGCTATAAAAAATTAACAATATATAACTTTTCTCAAAATAATACCACCTCAACATTTTGACTAGATTTGACTATTTTTTATTTAATGTTCATAAAATGTGTATAAAAGTATAGCTCATTTGTAACAAAAACTGGAAGTTCTAATGAAAAAGCCTGTTTTTTAATTTTTGTACAAAGTTTGAAATTTGTTTTTTGTTATATAATGAGATCTACTTTTATAAACAGTTTATGAACATTAAATAAACAATAGAAAAATAATCCAAACTTGTCAAAATGTTGAGGTGCTATTATTTTGACAAGCGCTTTGCATGGTAAACTATAAAGAACGTAAATTATTTCAGAAAGAATTATTTTCATTCATTCATGTATGTTATTAAAAAAATGTATAAATCCTACTTGTTATTTACCAAACCGCCCAACAAAAAACGCAAATTGCGCATTTCTTCCAATTTCTCTTTTTCCACCTCTAGC